AATATGTGTGAAGTGCAAGGACAGGCCTGGCATGGGATCTCACTCAGTCATGTGGCTCTCACGCCAAGACTGGTATGTAGGAGGGTGGGGAACTGAGGCATCAGATAGAGGCCAGGCAGAGCAGCGCTGGGGGCTGAGGAGGTGCTGCTCTGGCCCCTTCCAGCCCTGAGACGGAAATGTGCCCCATGAGCTAATTGCCTGTGCCTGAGGATTCTGGAAGTCCAGCCATTTCAGATAGCAGAGTGGCTGGCCTTGTCACTCCCATGGGCCATCAGCTAATGTGTCCAAGCCTCACAGTCTGCATAATGCTTTTACAGTCCATGAGGGTTGGTGCCTTCCGCTCTTTCCTCCCATCCTTACACCTGAATGGACAGTGGGGAGCAGTTGTCCCATTTTACAAAGGGCAAAACTGAGGTTTTGTGGTTAGTTCATAACAGAGCCAGGATTTGTAGGTGTCTCAGGGGTTAGAAGGAGCTGCTAGGATAGCAAAGATTAGCGTAACAGGAGTAAAGCCAGGTAAACTGAGCTGGTCACCCAGCCATCTCCCCTCCCACTTCACCTGGCCTCCACCTCAGCCTGGTGGCCAAGCAGGCATCTGCATTAATGGATGGCTGTGACCTCTTACCTGGGACATGGGTGGACAATTAAGGTGATTTGAGCCCCCCACAGCCCTAGCTGCTTCGTGGGGTCCTTTCCCAGAGGCAGCCTGGACCACTCAGTGACTTGCTTCTCATTGCCCCATTTCACAGCCTGGAATGGGGAGGTTGATCCTCAGTCCCTTCCCACCGCCAGCAGATGGCGAGAGGGGAGGAGAAGGACCGAAGGCTTTCTGGAAAAAGCTGCTCAAGAGTCCTGCCTGTGGTTGCCGACACACACACACACACACACACACACACACACACACAAACGTGCACACAAAGGGAGAGTGTGAGCTGGTACTTAACCCCAGCCCTTTGAGGCTACCCCACCTTTCCCACCTGGCCACCCAGCAGAGCCTGGGGACAGATAAGACAGTGAGGGAGGAGGGTTCCCAGAGGGGCCACAGGGCAGATGTTGGGAGAGGCTGAGTGTGGAGTGGTTAAGAGCATGGGTTGGAGAGCCAGACTGCTTGGGTTCAAATCCTGGCTCTGCTGCTTGCTCCCGGTGTGATTTGGAGTGACTCACCCAGTGTCCCTGCCCGTGAAATGGGGACACTAGTGGTACCTACCTCACAGGCTCGTTAAGCAGATCCAGTGGGTGAATGTTTGCGAGGTGCCTGCTAGGACTCAGACCGCGGCTGGGAGCACCCCACTCAGGTCTTCCTATTACCCCAAGTGCTGGAACCCTTGGCCTTGAACCCTAACACTGGGCAGGTTTTGACTAGGCCCTTCCTCCACACCCTGTCATTTAATTCTGACAGCAGCCTCACAAATTGGCCATTCCAAGCCCCATTTGATAGATGAGGGAAAATGATACCAGTGAGGTCACCCCTCCGTCCCCCAAATAGTATGGCAGAGCCAAGGGTCAGTCCTCCACCTGCTCAGCCCCAGGTCACTACTACTGCCCAGCACAAAAAGGGATCGCCATGGTGGCAGCCCCCGGGTCTCAGCTGCTGAGCGTAGCGCTTTGCTCACGCATCCTCTGTCCCCAGCACTTTGTGGCAGGGAACACATTTATCCCCTTGTCACATGGTTACGAAAGGGGATCAGAGAGGTTAAGGAACTTGCCCAGTGTCACCCAGAAGATGAACAGCAAGGCCAGGACTGGGCCAATGAGGGTAGAGAGGGGTCTCCTGTACTTGCCACAAGCTGCAAGGCTGACCCTTCTGCTTGGGGCACTCGGGAAGGTTTTAGTGTGCTCTGGTTTCTGTTTTGTTTTCAGCTGTTTTTCAGCACCTAGGGCCTTGCCTGGCACATAGTCTGTGCTCCCGGAATATTTGCTCAGTGAATGAATGTGAGAATTCAATGAGGTCATGTCTGGGGCCTCAGCTGGGGGCAGGGCCCAGGGCTAGGCTGAGCAGGAACCAGCAGGCCTCTGGGAAGTGGGAAAGCATTGGACCTGTCAGTGGGGAACGAGGAGAAGGAAGGAAGCCGGAGGAGGCGGGAGAGGTTTAATTTGGCTCCCAGAAGCTCAGTGAATTATTAATCTCCTACTGATGTTCCCATGACATGTCCACCAGAGATTGCCCCCTCCAAAAATCTGGACCTGTGGCCTCCTGCCTTCCTTCACCCCAGAAGGGGCTTCCTCCAGCAGGGCAAGGGGAAGGAGAGGACTCCCTGACTCTTGCTCCAAATTTCCTGACTGCTGGGATCATAAATTGGGACAGGGGACTCTAAACACTTGGTCCCCATTCTGAGCAGAATGAGGGGTTGTCAGAGCACACCCAGAACCACTCTGTTACAGATTGAATTGTGTCCCCTAAAAATATGTGTTGTAAATCCTAACCTCTATGCCTGTGGTTATAATCCCATTTGGAAATGAGCTGTCTTTGTTATGTTAATAAGACAGGATTAGTCTTGAGTCAATCTCTTTCGAGATCTATAAGAGTTTAAACAAGCTAGCTAAGAAGAGAGATAGGGTAAAATAGATACCAAGACACATGATATCTTAGTCATCTAGTGCTGCTGTAACAGAAATACCACAAGTAGATGGCTTTAACAAAGGAATTTATTCTCTCACAGTTTAGTAGGCTACAAGTCCAAATTCAGGATGTCGGCTCCAGGGAAAGGCTTTCTCTGTCGGCTGTGGAGGAAGGTCCATGGCATCAATCTTCCCTTGGCCTAGGAGCTCCTCCACGCAGGAACCTCATTTCCAAAGGACACACTGTGCTCCCGGCACTGCTTTCTTGGTGGTACGAGGTCCCCATGTCTCTCTGCTGGCTTCTTCTTTTATATCTCAAAGAGATTTACTTACAGCATTATCTAATCTTGTAGATCTCATTGATATGACTGCCACTAATCCATATCATTATATCATAGTGATAGGACTTACAACACACAGGGAAATCACATCAGATGACAAAGTGGTACACAATCATAAAATACTGGGAACCATAACCTAGCCAAGTTGACAGATTTTTTTTTTAAATTGAACTTTAGATGAAGTTTTACAGAACAAACTAGCTTCTCATTAAACAGTACATATATTGTTTTCTGATACTGGTTAACAACCCCATGACATGTCAGTACTCTCCCTTCTCAACCTTGGGTTCCCTATTACCAGCTTTCCTGTCCCCTCCTGCCTTCTAGTCATTGCCCTTGGGCTGATGTGCCCCTTTAGTCTGTCTAATCTTTGGCTAAAAGGTGAACCTCCTTCATTACTGGGCTAAAAGGGTGTCCAGAGGCCATACTCTCAGGGTTTCTCTAGTCTCTGTCAGGCCAGTAAGTCTGGTCTTTTTTTTGAGTTAGAATTTTGTTCTACATTTTTCTCCAGCTCTGTCCAGGACCCTCTATTGTGATCCTTGTCAGAACAGTCATTGGTGGTAGCCAGGCACCATCTAGTTGTAGTTGACAGATAATTTTGGGGGACACAATTCAATCCATGACACATGGAAATCTCCAAGGAACCAGGAAGCAGAAGCTGATGAGACAAGGACCTTCCTCCAGAGCTGACAGAGAGAGAAAGCCTTCCCCTAGAGCTGGCCCTCTGAATTTGGACTTCTAGCCTCCTAAACTTTGAGAAAATAAATTTCTGTTTGTTAAAGCCATCCACTTGTGGTATTTCTGTTATAGCAGCTCTAGATAACTAAGACAGCCACAGACAGTAAATTTCAACAAACAATCTGTTTATTGGCATTTATCATTAACCCTTCCTACAGCCCTTCTCAGTAGCTAGTTGTCCTGTGTTGAATGTGAGGAAGTGGATCCACAGAGGTCAAAGGATTTGCCCAGGGTCACATAGCAAGCTGGTTAGAGAGCTGGACTTGAACCTTGGGCTGTCTGACTCCAGAGTCTGTGATCTTACCCTGGAATGACCATACCCCTGGACGCCCTTGGTTGTGCCCGCACAGAACCTTGCATATAGTATCATCTTAGAGAAGCTTGGTGAGTGAATGAGCAAAGACCAAGACAGTCTGCCTTTTAGAGGGCCCATTGGTGCACCGCCTTCCAGCTGTGCAAGAGCTTGGTGAGTGAATGAGAAAAGACTAAGGCAGTCCACCCCTTGGAGGGCCCATTGGTGTACCACCTTCCAGCTATGCAGGAGCTTGGTGAGTGAATGAGCAAAGACTAAAACAGTCCACCCCGTGGAGGGCCTATTGGTGTACCACCTTCCAGCTCTGCAGGAGCTTGGTGAATGAATGAGCAAAGACTGAGACAGCCCACCCCTTGGAGGGCCTATTGGTGTACCACCTTTCAGCTATACAGGAGCTTGGTGAGTGAATGAACAAAGACTAAAACAGTCTACCCCTTGGAGGGCCTGTCAGTCCTTCCAGCCATGCGGGACTAGGCAGTGTCTCTCAACCCCAACTGCACATTAGAACCACCCAGGGACCTTTTCTAGCACTCCATGCCAGCCCCCCCTGCCCTTTCCCTGCTTCCCTCCCCACACCATAGACGGAGATGTTCTTGAGGGTGGGCACCAGGTCTGTTTCTGCTCACCATTATGCATCAACACTGGAAACAGAACCTGCTACCAACCAACTAACCGGTTGCCATCATGTTGATTCTGACTCCTGGCTACCCTGTGTGTACCAGAGTAGAACTGTGCTCCTTAGGGTTTTCAGTGATTGATTTTCAGAAGTAGACAGCAAGGCCTTTCTTCTGAGGCACATCTGGGTACACTCGAACCTCCAACGTTTCTGTTAGTAGCCAAGTGCCTTGAGCCTTAACTGTTTTCATCACCCAGTGCTAGGCACCCAGGAAGCACGTGTTGGCTGAAGCTGGAATTGCTATCCCCACTTTGCATGTGGGGAACTGAGGCTCACGTGGGGTCACTCACCTGGGGCATCTCCAGGCCCATGCTTCTTTCCTTCCTCCCTCCAAGTGACCTCACATGCCCCTCTTTCTCTGCCCTGTAAGCAGCAGGAGCTCCCGGCCCGTGTGAACTTCTCAGCTGCCCCATCCTCGGTCCCCGCAGTGCCCACCACCCTGCACGCCAAGATGGACGAGCTGGAGGGGCAGTTGCTGGCCAAGGTGCTGGCACTGGAGAAGGAGCGCGCGGCCCTCAGCCACAGCAGCCACCGGCAGCGGCAGGAGGTGGAGAAGGAGCTGGACGCGTTGCTGGGCCGTGTGGCTGAGCTGGAGCATGGTAGGTCCTGGGCCCACAGAGGGTAGGGTGTGCGAGGCCTTGGTCCTAGGGTGGGTCTTTGGATAGCAGAGTCACTCAAAAGCAGTTTTCGTACTATCTAGAGGCTAACGCTGAACAGGATGGTGAGCAGGAGGCTGCAGAACACCAGAGGGAGAGAAAAATCAGGGAACATTATTATCCTTATCATTGTTATTAACAGTTACCATTATCTGGCACTTACTGTGTTTCAGGACTGGGCTAAGTACTTGACACTCCAGCTGGTGTAATCTTCGCAAACCTCACAGGGATGGTACTATTATTATCCTCACTTCACTGATGAGGAAACTGAGGCTCAGAGAGGTCCAGTGACTTGCCCAAGGTCACACAGCCAGCAAGCAGCAGAGCTAACCCTCTAACAAGGTCTGTCTGACTCCAAGTCCATGCATTTAACCGCCACACAAGACATGTCTTCAATGAATCAGTCAGGATTTTGTCATTTGACAGCTTGACCTGGCACTGCCAGGGGACCAGAGAAGCATAATGTAGTGGACAGTGGGCAGGCATGAGCATTGGAAGGCCTGGCTCCTGGTCCCGCATCTGTCACTGGCTTGCTCTGTGACTTTGGGAGGTCACTTCCCTTTCTTGGGCCTCAGTTTCCTCATCTGAGAAATGAGGTTGAAGACTCATGTGTTCTCAGGGATTTTTCAGCTTTGAAACCTTGTGGGAACTTCCCTTAAGAGGCTTACAGAAAAATTGGGAAGACTAGGGGAAAAGAGCAATTGGGTGGGATTGGCTTAGATGTGGGGAGGAGATCCAGGAGGACTTCCTGAAGGAGGAGGTGGACCTCAAACTAGTCCTTGAAAGCAAATGTGAAGAAGTGAATTTTGGAGTAGAAGAGCCATAGCAGGGGCACAGAGGCAGAGGAGGGGTGGGCCTGGTGGGTTCTGTGACCAGCACTCCGCCTAGAGCACAGGGGCAGGAAAGACAACCTCAATCCTTACCCAGTCCTACTGGGTTAAGTGGCAAATGCCCAGACCCAATCTTTCTACACTGTGTTTCCTAAAGGGTTGGAGGTGTGTCCCCTCAGGGACAGAGGGGAGGTAGGCGGCTACGCTGGATGTCTGTGTGTCCATGGGCAAGTCTCTTCCCTTCTTGGGGCTCAACTTACTCAGCTATGAAATGAGTTCAAAGAGGTAGTCACTGAATCCCGTCTTCGCTCGCCGTGATGCATCACATCAGTCTCCACCCCAAGCCCCAAGCAGACCTGGGAACCCTGGACCTGCCTTCCCAGCCCCCACCCCCTCCCAGCCCTCAACAACCAGCTGGGGCAGGGGGAGACCAGCTGGTTCCTGCCTTTCCAGGAATCAGGAGGTGCCAGGCAGATGGCAGTGCCCATGGCCTCCCACCCTGGGAGTGTGCTGAGTGTACCCCCCATCCCTAGAGGTGGTGCCTCTCCAATCTACCCCCTGCAGACAGCCCTCTTATATTCAAGACATAGAATCCCAGAAACTGTGAACTGAAAGATACCTTAGAGTCCAGGAATCTGGTCCCCGGATTGTTTTGTTCAAATCCCAGCTCTGCCACTTACTAGCTGTGTGGCCTTGAGAAGGTTACTTAACCTCTCTGTGCCAAGGTTTTCTCATCTGTAAAATAGGGATTTTATTGAACCCTATCTCATAGGGTTGTTACAAGGAATAAAGGAGAGAATATACGTAAAAGAACAGTGCCTGGGAAAGAAAGCGCTATACCAGAAACCAAACCTGTTGCCATTGAGTCAATTCTGACTCATAGCAACCCTACAGAACAGGGTAGAACTGCCCCATAGGGTTTCCAAGGAGTGCCTGGTAGATTCGAACTGCCCACCTATTGGTTAGCAGCCATAGCTCTTAACCACTATGCCACAAGGTTTCCAGAAAGCACTACAGTGTGTGTTAAATAAATAGGCAAAGCACTATAGAAATGATAATAGTTGTATTACCATATTCATTTACTACGGGCCAGGCTCTTTACATATTTTGTCCCATTCAGCCCTTACACAGGTTTGGGAGAGAGGAAATGTTATTAGCCCCATTTTACTGAGGAAACTCAGGCACAGACAGGTTAACCTTTAACTTATTGAAGGTCACATGGATGGTTAAGTGGTGGAGGCAGGATTTGAACCCAGAACATCTCAAGTCCAGGGCCCGTGCACTTTAACTTCCCCATCAACACAGAGGCAGAGTGGAGAAGGACATGAAGGTACATGGCCCACTGCCTGGCCCATAGCAGCTGTCCAGGAATGATTAGCTGTCATTCTGATGTTCACCCTGTCCACCCTGCCCTCATCAGTGTCCACTGACCCTCACATGTCTGCCTTACCCTGCCCCTCAGGATCCTCAGCCTACAGCCCCCCGGACGCCTTCAAAATCAGCATCCCAATCCGCAACAACTACATGTATGCCCGCATGCGGAAGGCGCTGCCTGAGCTCTACGCCTTCACTGTCTGCATGTGGCTGCGGTCCCGGTCCGGCAGCACTGGCCAGGGCACCCCCTTCTCCTACTCGGTGCCTGGGCAGGCCAATGAAATAGTGCTTCTGGAGGCAGGCCATGACCCCATGGAGCTGCTGATCAACGACAAGGTGAGCAGGGGCCCCTACATGACTTCGGTGGGTCCTGGCTGGGCTGGGTCCCAAACATGCACGTGGATTGGCTCTTTCAATTCTCCTGCTTAACATATTCAGTACACATTAAATGCCTACTGTGTGCCAAGCTGGGTTCTGGGAATATAAAGACAGGTGAGACATGGTCCTGGCTGAAGAGGGGCTTGTGTCTAATAGAAGTGTTAGGTGTTTTTTCCATTTTACAGATGAGGCACATGAGCTTTAGTGACTTCACCACAACCCAGCTATTAGAGGCAGGGCTGGAGATCTCGCCAGGGCCCCTGTCGGTTCCCCTGGGCAAAAAGAGAAGGAAGTGAGGTCCAAGGATTTCTCTGAGGAGAAAGAGAGGAAGGGAGTGCTGGCGGGCTCCTCATCCCTGCCACTCCCCAGGGTCTAGGCCCTCTGTCCCTGCCCATTTATGGGGAGAATGGTGCATGGGCAGGCTCTGCAGCCTGAATGCTGGATTCCAATCCTAGTTCTGCCATTTACCCACAGTGTGAACTAGTCACTTACCCTCCCTATGTTTCAGTTTCTCCATCTGCTAAACAGGATTGATAATAGTCTGTATCTCATAGGCTGTGAGGAATAAGTGATTTAAATACATGTAAGGTGCTTTAAACAGAGGCTAGCATTTAGCGAGCCTTGATAAATGTAAGCTATCTTTATTATCCGAGGCTCTGTGCTAATAGCACTTCACTCACATTATCACACATGTCCCTTCCAACAGCACTGGGAGGCAGGTGCCAGCATTATCCCCATTTTGCAGATGGAGAAGCTGAGGCTCAGAGAGGGGAAATGACACACCCTGACCACATAGCTGGTGAAGAGGTGATAATATGATTTGGGGTCTCAGGCTCCAGAAACAACCTCTTAACCCCTTTCCTGTTCCTGTTCCTATGCCCAGGACTCACCCCCAGCTTCCTCCCTTGGTCTGGTTGTAGGACAGGACAAGGACAGGCCTTGGGCGGGAGATGATGTTGCAGGGGTATGGTGATTAAAAGTCTGGGGGAAGGCAAGCCTCTTATCATCTCCATTCCCGCAAAAATACCCTCCCCTGTCTGCCATGTTGCTTTGGGTCTTGCAGGCATGGCAGTCTTTTGAAACCCCCTGTAAATACAGACACTATGTATCACACCTACCTGTGACCAGCCCACAGCCATGTAGAGCCGCTGGGAGTGGTTGACACCCATCCAAACCCAGTTCCACAGGAGCTGCCCTTCATGGGTGTCCTGGTGAGAAGGAAGGAGATAGGCCCATGGGGTAGTGAATTTCTCATGTGGTGCTAAGAAGACCAGGGTAGCCAGGCTACATCTAGATCATGCTATCCTGTTCCCTTTATACACCCACTGACTGTAGTCCTTGCCCCTGCCCAAGATCAGAGCTCAGTTCCTATTAAAAGGAAATCAGCACCCTGGACAGGGCACTGGACAGCCCTAGTCCCTGAACTATTCCGGGCACCTCTGGAGTCCTTCTGAGCACCAACCTCGCAGGCTACTCACTGTTCTCCTTTTATTCCAGCCTCTAAGCCTTTGTTTATGCTGTGCCCTTCACTTGGTTGGCCTTTAAGTGGAATAGACAGATTCCATTGTCCTCCCAGGCATTCTTCAGACACCCTGTCTTCTGTTCCCATACCCCCCTCTTCCTCTGGGCCTTCACAGCCTGTGCCTCCGTTATGGCTCCTATGTTATTTTGTCTTGTAATTTTATCCCTGAAATCTTTCCCTCCTGTGCAGACTCATCTGATTTAAGGCTAAGACCAGGTCCATATCCCCAATGTCCAGAGCAAGGCCTGGCACCAAATAGGCATCACAGAAGGTTACATTCAGTTGTAATCTCTGAGAATTTATGAGAGCAAAGAGCCCCTTGGGAACATCAAATCCACAGACAGCAAGTACCTTTCATCTCACAGGCCAATTATAATCAATCAGCAGTGGCTTCCCGGAGCACCATGATGAGAAAGATTCTGAGGCTGAGTCTAGGCTCGTGATTGATTAGCCATGTCTGCCTTGGGTGGAGGAAGAGACACCGGTTGTATATTTGCCATCCTTGGTCTGACCTCCTCACTTTTCAGCTAAGGCTCAGAGAGGAAAACGGCCTCCCCAAGGTCACACAGGGGGTTGGTGACAGAGCCTGGGCCAGGACATCTTGAGCCTTTGCTATGGTCTGGACGCTGTGCAAGGATTATGAGACACAGCTCCTACCCTACATGGCCTTCTGGGCCTGTTAAAGAGGAATGAACTCCCAGGAAGCAACTGAAAAGCAACATTGAATCACCCCTTGTAATCTGAGTGAGGCCACTTGGTTAGGTCGATGGGAATTAGAGGGTAGAGGGGTCAGGGAAAGACACTGGGCTGGAAGGAGGGGGAGGACAAGCCTTGATCAGCCCCTGGAAGAAATGGCAATGGTCCCTCCCCCACTGCTCCAAGTTGGGCCTTGTGGCACCTCTGACCTGGGGTCGGGGACCTGTGTCCAGGTGGCCCAGCTGCCCCTGAGCCTGAAGGACAATGGCTGGCACCACATCTGCATCTCCTGGACCACGCGGGATGGCCTGTGGTCTGCCTACCAGGATGGTGAGCTGCAGGGCTCCGGCGAGAACCTGGCTGCCTGGCACCCCATCAAGCCTCATGGGATCCTCATCCTGGGCCAGGAGCAGGTAAGGCTTAGGCTGGCGTCACCCAAGCAGATCTCCCCAGGGCCCCTGAGGAGGAGGAGATGGGCAGAGGGAACCTGAAAGCACAGCAGTGATCATTCCTGCTGACCCAGCCGTTCTACAGATGAGCAGACGGAGGCCCAGGGAGAGCAGAGACCTGCCCAAGGGGCTAGACCCGTGGGGGCGGGCTTTGGCAGGGACAAGGGCCTGACTCACTGTGTCTGCCTGCTGTCTTTTCTGCTCCCTCACTCCATTTCTCTCTCCTTTCTCTGCTGTTCTCCTGGCCAGGACACCCTCGGTGGCCGGTTTGATGCCACCCAGGCCTTCGTGGGTGACATTGCCCAGTTTAACCTGTGGGACCATGCCCTGACACCTGCCCAGATCCTGGGCATTGCCAACTGTACCGAGCTGCTGCCGGGCAACGTCCTCCCCTGGGAAGACAAGCTGGTGGAGGCCTTCGGGGGTGCAACCAAGGCCACCTTTGATGTCTGCAAGGAGAGGGTCAAGCCATGAGGAGCCACCTCATCCAGGGCCCCACCCCTGCCTGCCGCTTCGGGGTCTTGAAGGGGGCGCATTCCCTTCTCAGCCTGCCTACACATTGGCCTCCCCTCTGCTCCAGTCCTGGCCATGGCTCTCATTTTCCCCACCCTCCGCACACCTCCAGAATGCCCTGCCCTGCAATGGGTGTGTCCCCCAACTCCACCTAGATGGGGATGAGCAGCTCCAGTCACCAGGTCAAGCCTGGGCTGAGTCCAGGGCCGGGCAGGAGGGGGTAGCAGTGCTCACAGCTCTGCCCACCCTTCTGGCATTACAGCGGAACCCTCTCTTGCCACCCCCACCCTGTCCCATCCATCATGTTTGATTCCACTATTCTCAACAGTACCCCCCATGGGTTGTATATGGGGGAAGGGCCCATGATCTCAGTGGTGGGGGTGGCTCCACCCCACTGCCCCCCATGCAGCAGGCCTGGTGCCTCCCACTTCAGGGCCAGAACAGGCTGTAGATCAGTACCCCCAGCTGAGAAGGGGAAGACAGAGGCATGGGAGGCTCAGACTCGCCCCTCCTCCACCTTTCCTCCAGCTGCCAGTCAAGGGCATCAGAACCTTGATGGAGGCCCCCCCAGGCTACCCCCTCTCCTCCCCCTCTTTCCTCGTTTCGTTGTGTGAAGTTGCTTGAATGTTGGTTCCATGCCTGGCCCAGCCCCATCACCCCTTGTTCTCACCCACAGCTGTGCCCACTGGCGTAGCCACCCCTCCGCCTCTGTGCCCAGGACAAGGCCTGGGCTGCTTGAGCCTGAGCTGAGGCCAGCTTAAGGCAGAGGCTCCATGCCCCAGGGGATCCTGCTTCTGGCAGAGCCACATTGGCCACTCCCTCTGTGTGTCCCTGCAACCTCTGGGGAGGGAAGAAGCTGAGAGGACAGGGAGAAGTATATGGTGGTGGGCAGAGCACTGGACACAAGAGAGAAACATTGTTCTAGCCAGCCCTGCTGCTAACCTGCTGTGTAGCCTTCTGCAAGGCCCTGCCCTCTCTGGCCTGGGCTTGCTCATCTGTAAGCTGAGGCCCTTGCTTTGGTCATTCCTGAGAGCACCTCCAGACTGAGCATAAGATGAACTGTGATTCCAAGTGCATAGGGTGGGGCAAGCCCAGGAATCCCCCAGGAGACCCAGGAGCATAGTAAGGGCAGGTCTTGGGACTGGGCAGCAGATAGGATCAGGATAGGCATGGGTCAGGGTCAGAAGCTGGCTCCAGAGAGTTAAGGGCAAGGGCAAGTTTCAAGGCAGGCCAATCTCACACATGGATTGTAAGAAAATCACCTCCCTCTAGATCCCCCATCTGGCACCCTTGCCTAGCTGAGGCTGTCTCAAAGGGCTGGTGGTTCCTGGTCCCCAAACTTGAGACCTCACGAGCACACCAACAGTGGGAAAATGTCAGAGCTGACAAAGGCCATCCATTCTGACCCCTTGCCTGTACAGATGGGGAAGAGCTCAGAGAGGGCAAGTGACTTGCACAGGATCACACAGCACAATGGAGCAGAGCCAGGACTAGAACGCAGGCTTTCTGACTCGCTCTTCTGTGCTCTTTCCCCACACCATACTGCCTGTCTTAGAGGGCTTGTGAGTCCAGCCTACACCCAAGAGAATGGACATTTGAGAGATCAGGATGCTTTCCTACAGGACAATTGGGACATCTTCCTTTATGCAACACCCAGACATCTTGGCACCTCCAAGGAGGTAGGGGGAAGAGGGTATGATCTCTGCTCACTCTGGTGGGAATGGAGAGCTGAGAACGCAGGTGTCCCACCCCTGCCAGCACCTACCAGGTGTCTGGGCTGTAGGCTACCTGGCTCACATAGGCACTATTGCCTTTCCCCCCTTTTTGTACTCCCTCTCCACTCCTCTGGCCCCTTAGCCCAAGGCATGATGCAGGAGCTAGAGGCTGTGGGGCCCAATGCTGTGGAAGCCTCTCCAAGACTTGTCACCTCCAGCCCCCAGATCCTTGTTTCCATTTCAAGAGCACAAATAGATTATTCAGCACCTCCGGTCCAACTCCTCTTGGAAGAAGAAGCAATGGATGGCGGGCTCAGCCAAAACCTGCTGAGATCTAGGTTGCCCCGGTAACAGCCAATGACATCAGCTCAAGTGCTGGGTCAAGTGTCTCATCCATAACGACACACGTGCTGTTGCTGGGGTGATGGCAGAATTCCGAACTTAAGTTTCGGGGACGCCCAGCTGTATTTGGTTTTTGTTATTGTTTTTAGGGAAGCAGCTTTTCTGGGGGCCTTAGAGGAAGGAAAGGGCTTTGGGAGGAAGGTGATGGGACTTCTTTTGTCACTTGAGCCCACCTAGGTGCATCATCCCCAGTCTTTGTGCTTTGTCGTGGTGATGACAAGACATCTGATGTCTGAGCCTTGTTCCTGCACTGAGTCAACCTAGTCAGCCCTCTGAAGGGAACAGGAACAAAATGAAGACAATGGAGTGTGGGCTTTGAGTCTGGATCTTTGGTGAGGGGCCTGGGACCCCATTTCCATTCCAGGAAGATGAAAACTCAAAGTCCGCATCCTCCCTTCATCCATTAATCAAGCACCTGCCAGCTGGACACGTCCATAACTTTTGGTGTTTTCTTCAGCTGCTCCCAGCATAGCCAAGAAGTCAGGGCAAGAGGAGCTAGAAGCGGTGCTTGGCCACATCCCTGAGTTGTTCCTGGTTAATAACGAGGATGGCGCCCGTGTTTGTTACACCCTTAGAAATTGTCAGTCAGACCACAGACGTTATCTCATTTATCCTCCCAACGCAATTACAAGTTAGGACTTTCTTAGCCCCATTATACAGGTAAGGACACTGGGGCACAGAGAGGTTAAGTAATTTGCCCAGTGTCAATCAGCCAGCAAGTGATGGAGCCCAGATTTCAAACCAAGGCAGGTTAGACGCAGGCCCTCCCCTCAGCCCAAGGAGGCAGGTATCCCCGACTCAGTGTGGGGAATGGAGTGGGATTTAGGCACCCACCATTGCTCCTGGAGAATTTCGGCCTGAAGGGATGTGCCTGGCCTCATTCACCCCATGGATCAGAAAAACAGGCGTGGGATGGGCCAGCCTCAGGGCCAGGGTCCCTTTGGGTGAGGCCACTGGAGGGGTCACAGCCCCTTAGATGTGTTCCTCTGGCAACCTCAGCCCTTCCCTACCTCAGTGGAGTTTCCAGGAGAGCTCAAAGAGAAAGCGAAGCTGCAGTGACTCCCAACAGTCCCAGGCAGAAAAGGGGAGGGAAGCTGGTATTTCTCCAGTTTCTGCTGTGGGCCATGCCCTGCGTCCGGTGCTTTACAGCTGCTATCTGCCAGATTCCCCAGCTTGGTGGACATACTGCTCCCAACCAACGTCCCAAGGGGGCACGTCTCCTAGCCACAATTGTACATGACCTAGGACTACAGGCCCCCGTTTTACAGATGAGGAAACTGAGGCAGGGGAATGGGCGACTCATGAGGCCATACAGCTGAGATGCGGGAAGACTCTGAGGTCAGTGCTCTCTCCACAACGCAGGGGCCCCTCTTCCCTGGAACTGGGTTCCTCCTTTTTCACACTCCCAGCACCCTTGGCCTGAGGAAACTGGGAAGGGGCCCCTCCCAGAGATTGGATCACTGTCTTCATCCCCTTTGTCCTAGCTGCCTGCCACCCCAAACTCCACCTTCCTCAGATCCCTGACCCTGCTGGGTTGGGAAGGGGCTCGTGTGGGCCCAGGCTGAGCAGTGAGCAAGCATGTCACGTTGTCCGACACTGTGAATTAGTGCCCCCTACTGACAATCCACCGCCCCAGGCCCACCCCTCCCTTCCTCCTTGCCCTATTTTGTATATAAAGTGACATGAGATGCGATGTGTGTGTATGTGTGTGTGATAAATGTCATGGTTTTTGTTACTTTTTTTTTGTAAATTTGAATGTTCAAAATAAACATAATGTTTGCTCTGAGGCTCTTCTTTGCAGGGGTCGGGCTACACTGGGGACGCTGGGCCGGGAGGAGGCAATGACTTTGGGCAGAGCAGTAACAGAGGAGGGGTCTGCCCCTGGACAGCCCCACAGCCTCACCTAACCTCAAATATACACCCACAAGCTGACAGGTTCTGCCTGTCCCAGGTTCAGACACACCCCATGTGCCAGGACTTATGCAGAAGGATGTAAAGAACCCAAGTCCCACATGGAAAGTGTCCCAGTTCTGATAACTGGGCTTTGGCCTCATTCCTAACACACCATCCCCATCTTGTGCCCCAGTTCTGGAAAACGGGCCCCTTCCCTGGGACCCAATATGACCGGGACACTTGCCTGCTCCCCTGAGTGTTGCCTCCCCTTGGGGTCCTAGGGAAATGACGTAGGGTAGAGGGAAGGACCCCACAGTATTCAACTCCCTCCCCTTCCTCACTATCTAGCTGGACTCCTCTGACACTTTTGGCCTCTAGAGTGGGCTCCATTAGGTCATCATCAGGGTCTGCTACTTGCTATACCTTCAGTGCCCACCCCATTCTTGGGAGGGTCTAGCCCCCAGCTTTCCCTGTCCACGCCATCTTAGGGGTACAAAGGCTCCACCTTCCTACTCTATCAATGTTGTCACCATTCTTAGTGGGTACTTATCCTCAGATGACCCCTGTGAAATGGACAGGGAGGCAGTCAGGGGTCAAGGAATGGGTCACACCAGTAGGACAGGGCTTCCCAGACTTTTCCAAAGCTTCTCAGACTTCCAACAAGAGTGAATTCGCTCCGTGAGGACTAGGAGGTATAGCTGGAAGCAGCATTTCAAACAGGAAAAAATGTATTTGAATTCTACTGAGTTATCTGAAAAATTCACATGATTTTTCCCATTCTACTTCAGAATGAATCCAGATTTATTTTAAAACAAAGATGTTTTTAATTACTTACCCTTAAGCAAAATTAAATGGTAGGCAGGTATGCCTTGTGTCTTAGTTATCTAGTGCTGCTATAACAGAAATACCACACGTGAATGGCTGCAACAGACAAATTTATTTTTCACAGTT